CCACTACACAATGTTTGTGGCTGGGCATTGTAAATGGCCTCATTAAAGCATGTTTAACTGTTTGGCAGGTGCCTTAATGAGAAGTCCATTAGCATACACACAGCTACGGCTCTCCTTTAGATAATTATGGTTTTCTATATGACTCTGATGCCACATCCTATTACTAATACTGCACGCTCATCACTATTTTTATACGCTACAGTTACATGTGAACCAGTGAATCTTCCTTCTCACCATAGAAAATGACAGGTCTTTTCTCTATGGAATTAATGCACAAATGATTGAGTGGTGAAGTAATCACTTAGTGTCAAGTGTCTAATTGAGATGTCCTTGGTCCCATGGACATGACTGCTCTTCAGTGTTATAATATTAATATTACCACTTGTACTAGTCGTTATGTAGCATTGATGTATGTTTATAATATCACAGTACGTTATACAGCTGGCTATGTAATTTCTTTGTAATAAACAATAAAATACATTTGCATTAAGTAACATATCTATTTACATGGATATTACTGGTCAAATATGAACTGTACTATGAGCTATAAACTGTAAAACAGATTTTATAATCATCAAAGATTTTAATATTTATCAACAAACAAGTGAATTTCTCTACTGAGATCAATCATTTATTTATGTTTTATATATTGCTTGTGAAAAATCATCTTTTGATCTTCTCCCTCATGACTGCACTCTCCTTCAGCACTTTTATAACACAACTAAGTCTAACTAAGTTTGTCATCACTGTAAGGCTCTGCAGCAGGAGGGTAAACCTGTCAGTTTTTTCCTAAAAGTTTTCCCAAAAGAGACGTATTTTCATGTATATTTTATCCCTTCACTACAGTATTCTTTTCTCACACTTTTTAGTGTTTGACTCGTCTCCTCAAATTGGTTCTGTCTGTGTCTCCGTCCCGTACAGTATAACGTGCTGCTTACTCTAGCTGAGCAGCAATGGCTGAGTTTGGCGCTTGGCTGCACAGGACTGCACCATCAGCAAAAGTCCCGGCTCTATATCACTGGTGTAATGAATCTGCCTCTGTGACTTCTCTCTGAATCCTGTCTCCTCCACTCTCCTCACGACTCCTCTTCCTCCTCAGTCTGTTTAAATAGTGTCTGATGCCGCTCTAATTAGTCGATTATTTGATTTGGTGTATGTTATGTGCACAAGGTAAATATTGGCACACATGGCAATGTATATTACATTGCATTCATAAAACATAAATAATGCAAAATTTATAATTTTTTGAGGCTTTCAGGAAAGTACACACAACTCACAACTCACTTTGCCTGTGTATGAATGTGATGCACATGTTAGTGCAGCACAATATAGGTGAACAGAATCCTACTTTTAAAACATATATTGCAATACTTGTCAGAAAAATTGCAATTAAAAAAAACTGCAAAATTACAAAATTGTGCAGCTCTTGTAATGGGTTGAGAGACTTCTGGTGCAGATTGGAAACCATGCTTTCATCAGTCTGCAGTAGCTTTGTTTGAAGTTGTTTACACCACAGTGTGTTGAGAATGAATAATGCACAAAATAGTAAATCGACTTTGCTATATAAAACTAATGCATTATTTGAGAGCCCTTGTTGTGTTTCCTTTATATCACACATAGATTGTATCAGGAGTAAAACATTTGTCCATAGTATGGCGTGTTTATATGTTCTAGGTTCAGTTCAGGTTTATGGGCTGCTTTCCTCTGGGTAACCTTTTGTAATAGCAGAATGATCGTGAGTGGGCATGGGGCTATAAAGGGGCCCTTCAGGGGGGTGGCTGAGGGCAGCAGGAGTTGTTTAGTGCCATACGAGGCCAGTGAGACATTTAAAGTGACACAGATCGTAATACACCGGTAATCATGAGCAGCAAGAGGCTAGTTTGAGCTGCAGAATCTAGGCACAATAATTATGAACTGCATTTATCCTTGAATAATGCCACATGAATAAAGGAGGAAACACAAAGCCTTAGTAATTAAGAGCTGGTTGGACAAAGGCAGGTGGTCGTGGTGGGGGTTGGGAAAGACAGGCAGTAAACCAATGATTAAAAGCACCTTTTAAATTAGGTTCATGACTCAATCCTCTCTACATCAGCATTAGTTTGTTGATGGATTGAAACTATCGACCTGAAATTAGCGGGTGTAAAAGGTGACTGGTCAGTGCTCCTGCCTCTGAGCAAGGAGGTTGTGAGTTTGAAACTTGGATTGGCCAACTAACCTCTCCAAACTAAATATATATTTTGATTGTAAAGACTGGTAAAATAATGTCCTATAGAAAACAGAAATCCAAGAATACATTTAGCTGAAATTTTATACAAGATGCTTAAATATGTTCTACTTTCAAATATCTTATAAATCATGTCATTTTCATCCCAGTCCCAGTACGTAGTGGCGTGGAGGTGCTGGCTTATCTCCTCTCTCCATACCCCTGCAGTGGGTGACACCTGCTAATGAGAAATCAGCAGTGTGTTACAAGTATAACTGGATAGAGGGAGCCATATTTGAACTTGATCCTGGTGAAATATTCAAAGTGATGATGTAAAGATACATATCTAGACTTCATAATCACCATCTGACGTTATCTGTATGAAGTCAGTGCCAAATGTATCACACAAATGACACCTATCGCAGCGTATTATCTGATAAGAAGTCATGTGTCACTATCAATTTGGAGGGTAGCTGAACTGTACCGCACATTTTATATTCTGAGTAAATTTTGACTTGAAATGATTTTGTACGCAGTTAGATGATCTGTTCTTACTGAAACTGACAGACCAAACTGGCACATTGTGGTTTTCAATCAACTTCATTTTAACTGTTTTGGTTTCTTTCTTTCTTTGGAATATTTGGCCCAACTTGCGTCTTAATAATACTACGTGTGTGTACCATGACATTTGACCAAAGCTCTGTTTAGTGTCCCCCTTGTTTCAATCATATTTTATGTTTCTCATTGGTACTGCAGATTTAATGCAGTTGCATGCATTTAATGCTTGCTATTTTAAAGGTGCACTGTGTAAATTTTCAGTTGGAGGTTCGTCACCTTCTTGTTTCTATGAATATGTGCTCTGTTTCGAAAAGTTCTGCAATACGACATTAAACAGATCTAACTTAGATCAATTACATGTGGTTTTATAGCTCAAAAATACCTTGTAAAAGAGCCATTCTGACTGTGAATGGGGTTGTCTCTCCACAGATCTGACCTGTAACTTGGATTGGTTTGCTCTCCATGATGCTAGAAAGGTTTAATGCCATACTGTGAAACATTTCTTACAAAGCAATAACATTCCCATGGAGAAAAACATCTAGAAAAGTTACATAACACACCTTTAAGTCTCTAAGTAAAAACAGAACAAAAATCAATTTCTTAAAAACAAATTATTTGAAGTAGTTTTGCTAATAATTAATATTGTCTTTTAAACTGTATGTGACACTATTACATATGTTTAAATTCTAGATGAAATGTAAAAAAAAAACAAAAAAAAAACCAGCCTAAATTATTATTTTTTCCTTTGAAAGCAATCTTAGACTTTATCTTGACAGTCTTTTTGAATATACTATCAGCGGTAGTCGTGGTGAGTGGACATGATGTGACAAAAGCATTCGGACATTTGCCCTCCCTGCCATCTGTTCACCATGACACACAACCTGTTTATTTATAAGCCACCATTACCAACATACAGACATTTCATTGTTAATTTATCCTTCACAGAAACACGCATCTCTCTGGTAGGATATGATACGTGATAGTTTGTGGTTTGATCCAATACGACATATGGCACGTTGGATGAGCCTGTTGAGAGCTGTTCTGCTTTGTACAAACCCTCAATATGGATTTATTTGTTTTGTGTTGCTTCTCTTCACCTATTGATCACCAGCGTCACGGTTTTTTCACGCCTCCTTTGTTATTAATATGCATGCCTAAACCCATTTAAAATACGATAGATGCCACGGTTGGTTTTGCTTGTGTACCTGAGCAACATACTGGTGCATAATATTTGTTGCCCAGTTCTAACTGTGCTCATTTTTAACTCCCCTTGAGAATAAGAACTCATTACAAAATATTTCTCACCCTATCTGCCTCTTTCCCTCCAGCTTGCATCAGCTCCCCAGGGCGACTCCTTCACTTACAACCACACACTACACCAGACAAAATCCAGCCTTTTTTTTTTTTTTATTCACAGCATTTCCCAAAGCTTGGCACATCTATCATTGCTTGTGTCTGTTTTCTGCTTGATTTGTCTTAAATTTATGCACGCCCCTGCCACTTCAAATTGTACAAATCATTAAGCATATCGAAATGCAACTGGTCATTTTGCAAACACTTTGGACTTTTCTAGAAATATTTTACAAGCATTTGAGTGGTTTGATGCTTAATTTATTATCAAAATTAGATACTTATTTTAAGAAGTATCAGTGCTAAAATGAATTGCATAAATTTCTAATAGTTAATTTCAAAGACAATACTGTTATTTTGTGAAAAGAAAATGACATATTTTGTATACATTTTTTGGATTGCTTTTGTGGTATCAAAATCAATATCATATTTTCCCCTCAAGTATACAAGTTTAAAATTGTACAACACTAGTATATAGAGCTATTTCTTTTAGCAAGACAACCAAGTACAGCTTTGGCTAGTAGAAGTGTTGAACAATGTTTAAAATTGAATTATATTTTTGAAAAATTTTCCAACCAATATCTGTTTGAATGTTTTATAGTAGTGGTTAAAAGTGCAGTCCACTTAGTTATGTTGTTATTTAAATTATTGTGTCTCTAATGTATTTTTATTTTTTGTTGTTCTTTATTTTCAGATTACGAATCGCCTCAATAAAGAGCCATAAGAGACAAGTCAAACCAAATGCAACAATCCCAGAAGAAATGGAGAGTGAATCATAAGATGACATTCTGGTCAACGAGCATTCAAGTCAGTAGCATTAAGCAGAAATACCATTTTTTTAAAATTGTAAATGGCCTTTAGGTACTGAGCTTAGAGGAGTAGGTACAACATGAGTATCCCAACTGATTACCAGGGGCTTCGAGTGTCTGTGGAAAAAGGTGAGAAAATTTCCAACAAAAGCAACTTGCCTTTTTCTCAGTGCGGAGACGATAATGCCAATGAAATTGGAGAGCTGGAATACACTACCAGTTCTATCCCTCCTCTTGTTTCTCAGAGCGAAACTCACGAGAAAATAGTCATCTGGAGCTCAGAGCAGCCATTTGAGCCCTGTCAGGAAATACACACATTTCTAGGCAAAAGTGATGATCTTTATGACGATGAAGAGGACGGAGCAAGTATGAGAGAAGGCCCCATGTCCATCTCCTCGAGTTCCACTGCCAGCTCTGCCTCGACCGGAGTGAAGAGGAACGACAATGACAGCAACAAGGTGGAGGTTCGGAGGAGCAGACAGGAGCACAAAAGGACTGCCAGTCACAGCACCGAAGAATTGGACACCTGCGTGACAGTGGATAGAGATGGAGTCAGGGTGGGCAGAGCAACAGAGAGGGACAGACAAAAGTCCAAATCCGAAACCAATGTGTTTGTCTCTAGCTTATCCGCGATCTCTCTCAGCGGAAGTCTATCAAGTGCTTTGGATACCGGTGGAGAAACACGTATAACTTTGCCAGTTTACAAGACCCACCTCTATTCCTCTGGTACAAGCAACACTACCTCAATTCAGACCAGAAGAGGGTCTGCCCCAATGGACAACAAGAACTCACCTCCTTACCACTCTCAGGAGAAACTTCAACAATACAGCAACAATAGCAGCCAAGACAGTGGGCTTGGACAGAGGAGAAAGGCAGGATTTGAGGAAAGGGTATTACCACCGAGGAGACAGCAGCTTGTAAGACCAATGTGTCAGACAGAGATGGGGCGGGCTAGGAGTTTGCCTGAATCTAGTAGCCATCAAGTCGACCCAGGACAGCCAAACCAGGAATACATCGGTAACAGAAAGTTTACAAGATCATCCCTGCGTGAGCCATCTGATTTCTCTCACCTTTATAACTCATCGGTGGTCTTAAGACAGCCCAGTCAAGCAGGCCAAAGAGACACGCTACCTACCGAAAAACAGCTCACCAGTGCCTCAAGGCCGACCCCAAGTCCAAGACCCCAAACTCAGCTTACATACCGGAGAAACTGCTCCAGCCCCAACCGAATGGCAACTCCTCCCCAGTCCCCTCTCAGGACCCCCCAAGGATCACCCAGACGACAGCCCTCAATGTTCATCATTCCCCGAAGCGTCCCGGGAGTGGTTCGGCACACTCCTCCCTCTGGGTCTAACACTGCTGTAACCACTCAGGGCTATGGCAACAGCAGCCTAAGAGCACCAGTCAAAACTAGCATAAGCACAACTGGGACAGCCAAACCAACCCCCAACAGCAGGCAGAGTCCACCGAAGGACAGCTCACCTTCGCCGAAACACGCCCCCAAACCAAAAGGCGTCCGCCCCAAGATTATCACCTATGTGAGGAAAAATCCACAGTTTAAACCACAAGTTGCAGACGGGCCTTATCAAGTATCCTCTTTGCCATCCAGGCTGTCAACATACTCAAATAACCAGAGTAAAGATCTCCCGAAAGAAAAGACAGATGTTGAAGCCAGAGGAGGGCCAGTTCTTAGTGCATCAAATTTGCTTTATGACAAATACAGGCAAGAGATGCAGACAAGTGTATGCCCCCAACCAGGAGTGATCCACAGAGGAGCCAGGCCAAATACTGTCCCAGCAGCCACTGCACCTCACGGACACAGCCACACAGCACCACCCAAACTCGGGAGCAAAACGGAACACTTCTATGGGTCGCCGTCTGAGGTTAGTACACATATCGTCAATATTTGCACAATCATATTTTTTTTACCTCTGACAGATAGTTTATTCTGAGATCACAACTGAATTATTATGACAATGGGCATGACAATAGGTAGTTACAGTAGTACTTTTAATATCAGTATACATTTGCACGTTTGAATGGTAACTTCACAAATACAATAAAGCATCAGGACTTCAACTTCCACCACTGCACATCTTCAGTATGAGTTGATTTTGAAAACAGTTATGCCCCATACTTTAAGTGGGCAGAAAGATCTTAGAAGTTCTTGGTAGTTTTCTTTTGTCAGATACGATGTAATGAGTAACAGAAACATGTTTCACAATTCCAATTACTTAATCTAATTTAAAGTCTAAGTAGGGTAAAGAAATGGCTATAGTATCTAGTAGTATGTAATCTCAATCTATATGGCTCCATTCTTGAGTCTAAAACACCATTTGGGAACCACTTCTCTAAACAATTACATAATAGTCCTGTAGAGAACATACTGATGGCTCAGAAGTGATACTCAAAAGCATCTGAGTACTTGTGCAAAGCAGCCCATTTAAAACACTGTACTTACTGATTAAAATGTTTACTTTATCTGCACGAATTCAACAAGATTACATTATTCTGAATTATTTATGAATTAGCTTCTGCTTCAGGGAATTGCTCCAAGTGCATAAATTGACTCACTATAATGGCAGATCTCATACATTAAATGTGTTAACCCCACATATTGATTTGTGGTATATAGGTCGATTCCCTTGGACCCACAGTAAACAGTGTGTAATTGTTTCAGTTCAGATTTCTATTGTGTATCTCAACTTTTCATAGAATAATTTTATTGATCCGAATTAATTATTTGCCATTTATAACATCTAGAGCAGAGGCATCCAACCTTTTCCTCTGGTGAGCTACCTTTTCAAAACAGAAGTGTTACAGAACTATTCATTCTAACATTCTTAAGTATTCTTGTGTATATATAAGAACCACGGCAAGCCCTTTAGATGGGGTACAGTTTGATGCTTATCATTATCCTTTTATTAGTGCACAAAATTAGGAATGAAAATGATATATTTACAGTGTTAATGTGCATTTAATTAATATTTTTTTAATTATTCAGCACAATATGTGTAATCCCTTGGCAAGCTACTTGGTACTGGTTGGAGACCCTCGATTTTGAGGGGGGAAAAATCCAAAATATTGCCATGAAGTTAATTATTTGTTTTTCATTTCTTAGACTTAAACTTGCAAACTTGGACAACAAAACTTTATTGATCCACAAGGGAAGTTACTTGGACACAGTAGCTCACATATTGCACATGGAGCAAAAAAAATGTATTGAAATGATAAAATAATTAAAGTAGCAAAAATTGCAAAACAGTTAAACATATTAAAATAAACTAAAAATGCTTAAATGCACTTTCTCTATATACTTCTACGTAGATGGGAAGACCAGGCAGTTTCAAAGGCAGCCAGCCAGATGACCCTCTGCAGTCCCGTACAGTACCCCAGGGTGGAGGTGGCAGCTTGCTCCGCTCTGGCAGAGGTCTACGTTTGGGTCTAGGTGCGGTGACCAGGACTGCCCCAGGACCAGCCAGAACCCGGAGTCCTGCTCAGAGATCTGCCCCTGTCATGAGCCAACCAGTGCAACCCATCAGCCCCAATGAGAAATCCCACGACACAGGTAAAGCCACAATCATATGACATATTTTTCTCTGCTGTGACAAGAAAACTCTAGAAGGAGATGGGTGTTTTTGGGTTTCTGCATATGTCACAATGTATTCGAACAGCTTGAAGTATGAGACACAGGAGAAATCCACAACTCTACGCTATCTTCTCCTCAGCAACAAGCAGGTCTGAGACTGTCTCCGCCTCAAATCAGCATGAGATGAAGGCACCTCATTAAAATGCATTCGCCAAGATGATTTTTGGTGAATCTGATTGGAAGGCTTGAAGAAATACTCAGAGGGGACACGCTCCGGCAAAACTCTTTTTTGCAGCTCTAAATAAATAAAGAGGCTAGCTTCCATTTTCTCTTCCCACGGTTTTTGACTTAACACAATAGCTTGAGTCAGATTGGAAACACATTTTTACTGTCACAGAATATTGAAACGGGACTTTGCTTATTCTATACACGCTGCTCAAAGGCTGTGTCATTTATCACTGCCATGCATATTTGATTTGGGCCCTATCTCTGTGACTGTGATAACCCGGACAGAAAGTTCAGAGAAAAAATAATATTGCACATAAAGAATTGATCAGCTCAGTGTTATGGTGTGGCAGGCTTTTTTATCATAATCCCTATTAATACATATGTATATGGCTCTGCAGAGGTGCAAAAATCCCCCTGGGAAGTGCAAGGCTTTGAAGGGCATTGCAATTAACACTAAGTAACATCATTTTTTTTTCTCTGCCTTCCTCTCTGCACCTTTTCAGCATGAATAAACACAGATTAAATTGGATGCATTTTACATGTGGTTTTAGTTAGCGTTTAAACCACTGTGTCTTCCATTTATGTTACATAGTACATTTTATATTCCCTTTTATCAAAGATTGTTTTATTCTTTGTTTTATTCATCTTGCATATTGTATTTAAAATGTCTAAAAATCTCTGTCTTTTGTATTCATTCTGATAATTTCAACTGAATTCATACATCTACAAAGACATTTCTACAACCCTTTTTATAATTGCCATGTAGATCTTACCACATTGTTCTATTCATGCTCCTCCACGTTACATTCTGCACCACAGTCATCCCTTCTCAGCACTGTAGGCTTCCTTTAGTACACTGAAATTGCACTTCTCTCGTGCTTTTAATAGTGTGCAGTTTAACATTGTGTGTAAGAAATTCATGCGGGTTGAGACAGCTGATCCTTGTAATTAAAATCAGCCTTTGTTCATTGACTTACTCACGTTGATCCATTGACTTTTTTGCAGCAAATTTGCATTCATTATCCCAATTTAGTCCCTGCTCTTTGTGTAATGGAAAAACAATAGTGATTTTTAATCGGTTGGAAAAGGGGTTAGAGACCTAAATACAGTGTAGTCTTACCAACTGTGAGATATAACGTTTTGAAAATGTAGAAGGCTGTATCTAATTCAGGCCCTATTTTATTGTGATTTAACATGAATACAATGCGACTTGTAGTAGCACAGCCTTCTTATTATCAATATTGCAGAATACTAGTATGTATGCCTGGTGCTAATTTAAATAAACATGGTTGGCATACAATTAAATAGTCCATATTGTTTCCAGAGATATATAAACAATACATAATGAGTATTCCTATTTTCCCTTCACCACAGTGTTTGATAAAAGCGATTGTTAGCCTGGCTCTTGTCTCTGAGGATCTGAGTGAAGTTGATGTGGAGAAGTAAAGCAGGGACATTTATCTCTAATGATCCTGACCTTCTCACTGGAGAGCAGCCGGGCTCAATCTAATAAACAGACTGTGCACTGCGAAGATGGAGCGAAGGTAGCCATAAGTGTGCCACAGCGTTGCCAATGAGATACACTGGAGATATTCCCTTCCAATTTCTCCCACTCTCTGCCCCACTTCCTGCTAAATCAGTGTGTGGTGTTAGCCTGTAGCCATAGCGGTGAAGAACAGAGAGCCAAATGGAGAGGAAGGGCCCGCCGCATGTCTTATCTCAGCAGCCAGCAGGAGCCAGAGCTGCTCTCCTTGTTGGGATTCGGACATAGCGCTTGAGGCTCAGATAATCGTGGGGCAAGAGTCCAGGTCATGTTAGGATGTGACTGCACACTGAAGGCATGGATGTATGAGAACCTGGCTGCTCGTGATGAAGCCATTCCATTACTATAGGCGCCATTTTGAGGACCATTCAAAAGATACCACATTTTGTTTTGAATTGTCACTCTGAAACACATGGATAAGCTGTTATATTGTACACCAACAAGGCATTTCATTATTGCAGTGCAGTATTAACACCGTGTAATATTATGCTTACATAAAGGTGCACTCTGTAACTTTCCTACTAGTAGTCCAGTCCAGTACCTGCTTGTGTCCATGGAGAAGTTATTGGAATATTGTATCACAGTGAACAAATGACAGGTCAGACTTGCGGAGAGGTGGTCCCACTCACAATAAGAATGTATTTCACACCTTTAATTGAATAAATGCAAGCTAAATGTGTTTTATTTTGATGATGATCTAAAAACTACATATACACACATTACACACAATTATACATTCTCTATTGTTTTTGTGTATTATGTAAACCATTAAATATCTTAGTGTAATGACAGTGAAGGTGTTGGTGTCTTGTGAGCAGTGGAGGGCAGATCAGATTGTCTGTTCATCTCCTCTTCATGCCAGCACATCCTCCGTGTTCACAGCCACAGATTAGAGCCAGCGCTGACAATAGCTGCCTCTGTGGAGCTTTGATTAGTTTTTTATCCGTTCTTTGATTCCCTGTCTGGTCTTTCTCTGGTCTTCCCAACAGTTTTTTCTTCTTGCTATAAAGCCGCATTGTATTTCACGCTCCTGTGGTCTAAAGTTGGATTTGTGGAAGCATGTGGCTAGAAGGATTATTAGAAACATTAAACCGACATAAAACCATTTAGCAGAACTTTGCATTGAAAGAAAAAAAAAGCCTAACGTAGCCGTCGGTCACTAAATTGTTTCATGTTTTTTAGTAAAATAAACTTAAAAGATGGTTTAGGGCTTTACCCTAGACCAATGGACAGGTTACATCATGTCTTCATGTTTACCAGTTAGTTGCAGACTGCTCAACAACATCTTAACAGGTATATTTAAAAGTCTGATTTGTCCTAATTTTCTTTATATTTTCATTTATTTTGCATTCCACTTTCTACAGAAAAAAATTCAACTTATAATGGAGAATTAGATGTAAAGAATTATCTCCTATATATCATAATTTACAGATTGCTGGGAATTATAAACCTAGAGAGGTAATGTTGGCTTCTTACCCACTGCCAGTCATTGCAGCAGAGTGGAGTCAGAAAGGTTGCTGTAGCCCGCTGAGAGCTTAGTCAACAGCCCACCGTGAATGATTCATGGGGGAAATATCTAGTTGAATAATTTTCACCAGCTTGTGAGCATGCCAAGTTAACAGTTTACATGAGTAATCAAAACTCTTGACTCATATATAGCGATACCAGCAATAAATTATATAGGAATACAGCTGTGACTTGGCAAGGACGTGGAGATAAATAATGCAAAACATGACATATCTTACACTACTTAAACAGTTTAGCAAAATCAAATCATTAATGAACTGTTGTTTTGTCATTCAATCTCTTTCAACAGATGATCAAGTTTTTACACAGAATGCCCCTGTCCCATCTTCAGCTGAGAGTCCAAACGCTGCCTCCAGGTCTTTAGTGCCCAAAGGGTCGCAGTCTGGTTTGCGTCCTCCGGGCTTCAGCTCCACTCGTCTCCCGGCTGGACGTCTCGCTGCCTTTGGCTTTGTGCGCAGCTCCAGTGTCTCCTCTGCTTCCTCTGTCCAGTCTGGAGACAGTGGGCCCAGTGACCCCACTAGGACCACACACCGTAAGTAATACAATATAATGTTATGAGAATATTGCTACACTGTGCTTAAAAGAGAAGTATGTAATGCTTCTCTTTTCTACCTGTTTGTCTCCATGGAAATGTTTTTGCCTTGCCTGGAGTGTCCCACATTACGACATTGGTGTTTTTACTTGGTGTTTTTATTGGAATATAGTAAAATTACATAATACTTTGAAAAACACCATGTTATGAACCTTCACAAGAAAAGTTGTTTAGTAGACCTTTAAGATTGCAGTAACAAATAGACTGTATTTGTAACCAGCTGACAGCTTTTGGTCTGTTTAAGTAAGTAGCTATCACATAGAGACACTCAAGTCTAAACCTGGGCTTTTATTGATGTAAATGTTAAAGAAGACACTATCATGTATTTTAGTTTTGTCTCATGTTAACATTTTTATTTGCATGAAACCCATTTACTGTATACCAACCACATTCAAAGATACTTTCATATAAAATTGCAATATACAGGTATGTTTTTGTACAGCCACTTCTGCAGCCATTTTAGTCAATGTAAATTATACAGAGAATTAGATGCCCAGTAAACACCATTAATGAAAACAGGATCTATCGCATACTAAAAACCTTATTCATTGTCTTACAGCCGGCCTATTGATTAGCATGGGCATGGCGAAAGTGGACACTGGGAGCATGCTCTATAGAGACTATTACTATAGGGAAATTAATAGCATAGCAGTTTTGCATATGAATTAGTTATCCACTGTATAAAACCAACAGCAGTCATGATTTTTCCACTTGTTTTGCTGTGCTTTTAAATACCTCATTATCTACCAGCCTAGATAATCAAACCAGGTAAAACGCTAATCAGTACAGTTTAGAAACACCAAATTTGCACAGAGGAAGAAACTGGGAGAGACACCAGCTGCACCTGCTTTATATTGTATTCACAAACTGATATGACAAAACCAAAGAAAAACTAAATTAAAACAGTTCTGGTGTTTTTATGCATGAATATAATTTTTCTGTTCTGTTTTACTGTTTGGTGCATTATTCATTCTTTTTTCAATCATACTTAATGGTGTTGGAAGTTAGGATGCCAGGACTAACAGTCTTCACTACTATGATCAGTAACATGCTTGTAAATGTGACCTCTTGGTTCGTGGGCAAACGTCCATACCACCTAAACCTACTGACTCTCCAAATCTAGTTTATAATGTCCAAAGATTCTTTTTAACTAAGTAAAAACTGCTCTCACTTCACTTGTCACATGTATACCTCTGTAGCCTTTTGGCACACTCTATGTTTTCATACATTTTTAGTGTTACTGTCAGTATTCTGCCTCATTACCAGGCTGTGATTACATCGTCAGCTTCTCAACCACAACAATGTATTATCTCATGTACTGTAGGCGCTGCCCTCGTGAATATAGTTTGCATAATCTTTCCCTCCCACATTCATTATGAGACAGTTTGTTTTCATCCACACCACCCAGGCTCAGTGTACAGTCTAGATGACTGTAATAACTCAAGTCTCCTTCAACCTGATTTTCACTTTCACATATAGTTCAAATATAGCGTATGTAATAATTGTGGTAAGGTTGGATCTTTATTATCTTTTATTTATGTTTTGGCTCATTGGCTTTATAGCTCTGAGCACGCAGAATTGAGAAATGGAAGCAAAGAGTAGGGATTACAAATTACGAAAGCTGGAAATCAATCTCATGACATTGCAAGTTATTTTTCATTGGATCAAACTGGAGTTCTCCATTGTACATAAGTTTTGCGTGACATTTGCAGACTTCCTCTCATACAGACAGCTCTATTTCAGTACTATACTTCACACTCTCTGAGGCAGTTCTGTTGTTCCTGAGAAGCAGAGGTGCACTTACAGCTGTGATTTCCTCTCTCCTCGCCTGGCTTGGCTGGCTGTTACTTGGCTGAATTTGTGGGAGCTACATGCCTTTTTAATGTGACCTACATAGGGAAGGCTTGCTCCTCTTTTTCTCCCAGTTACAGTTGACGTAAGCGCTCTGTTGTGCATGTCAGACCCCCTGTTATGTCATCGCAGCCGTACGGTGGTTAGCCCCTTTGTACTCATAGGTTTTTCATCTCTCTGTTCATTCCTCATTGGTCAGAAAAGAAAGCAAACTGTGTAGCACCTCAGGCACCCAACTGCTCCAGCTTTTACAGCAATTGATTTAATATCTTTAATAAGCCCAATTGAAAAAAGGGAAGTTTTTTTAGTGGATACATTTTTTTTAGTAATGCTTTTATGTCTATGTATTTTATTTTATGTTTATTTGTTATTCATTTTAAGAGGATAAACGCTTTGACAGTAATTCAACTATCATAGTGGTATGCTCCTGTACTTTTTTATGAGCAGACCAAACCACATAATCTTTATTGATAGGTTAACCGTAATATACCTAGAGAAAAGATACCTCAAAAACACAAAATATACAGGTCTTTTGAAGCTTGCAAAATGTTTTTTTTTTTTTTTTTTGCAGGACCAAATATAGATTGTAGACAGGGGAGGAAGAGCTTTACCTGCTTTGATGTTCTTGCATTTGTAAGAGAGAGGAGAGCAGCTGGATGTTTTAGCGTCTGTTTCTGTTTGTGACTTTTGGCTCTGACTCATTTGAACTTCAATCTTCTGTTGACCTTCCAAGTCTAACCTCATCTTTCCCTCCACCTGGGATCTGTAGGCACAGTTTCACCTGTAGTGCACTGCTATGTTATTGACTAGACGCTGTATACCACAGACAAGTCGCTTTCTTGCAATGGTAAATGTGGTCAGTCCTGGTGGATGTTGATACATTATTGTAGTAATAAACACTAATAATAATGCTCAAGAGAGCATTATATTTACTTTTTGCATCTTGAAAGCTCCCTCTGGATTTATACATTTTAGTAAAATATAACCCAATTCTTACTTTAAGCATTTGAAAAATGAGTAATCACTACTGGATCATTTCTACTAGTAAATGAGTAAAAAATTTCAATGCAAAATTGAAAAAAGTGTTGTTATTTTTTGTAGTGATTTTGTAATGTTTTGCACACAAATTTGCAGTGAGCACAATGACATTACTTTGATTACTTGACATCCATTTTCTTCTTGTACGTCTTTCTTTGCCACTGAACAAACAGCAGAGAGACTGACAGATGACTCTTCTCTCACATCTTTCCAATAAACATGTCAGAGCCAACCACTGCAAAGCCCCTTGTAACCAAACCAAAAGCTATGTTTTTTTTTCTTCTATTGATCTAGAACCAAAACAAACACCATTAGAAGCTAGATTTGGTGGAGAGTGGAGACTAGAAATCGTTAAGGGCCAGAGCTACGAGGAGCAATAGATCGGTGAGCTTCTGTAAAGTGGGTTAGAGGACAATCCCAAGGGTTTAAACTCCCCTTAGTCACAGCTTGTCAACCTTGTTCTCATCATTGAGGTTATGCACAGAGATAGTGCAGAGCCAGGTAGAGGGAATAGTGGATCCAATTAGCTTGACAAAAGGCACTGTACACTTACTGATATTTCTTGTAACTGCATGGTAGATACTTACAAATTAGCATTTAGTTTATAGTTTAGTTTGGAATACAATGCTGTACCGTATATGTTTAAAACCATTTGTTTCACTGTGAGCTCTCTATCTACATATGATTACATGATTTCAATAAAGATTTTGAAAATGCATTTAATGTCATGGATAGTAGTTTATTAGCATTTTTTTTAATGGTGTAGTTTTCATAAATTTGCCTATTCCTGTGCTATATTCCTGGTAGTAATTGTGCAGTCTTACAGAAATTCAAGAGCTCTTGTAGTATTTCCATAATTAAAATGGCATAGGTTTTGTCAGACATTGTTCCTGCAGCTGCAGATTCCATTTTTCCAAGCTACGAACTAACTCAAAGAGGACTCCAGGGCATCTTACCATACTTGAGGCCTTTGGAGTCTTTTTGTACAACTAGAGAAAGATATGAGCTTGTGCATGTTGTATTTACTTATAATATTTATATAGCTACACAATTGATACGATACCTTTATCTCATGATTGATAAAATTAAGAAATGCAAATTAGCCACTGCAGCCCATACATGGCACAGATGATTTTGAATGAGTTCGTCGTAGCTGATTTGGCCTGCAGCTCTATTGGGTATTGTACAGAGAGAAATTGCACACTCTGCACCATCAGTGGGTCGATGTATTCCCTGTGGTTATGTAGATACAGGCATGACAGCTCTATGATGCATCACACACGCTATTCAATATACTATAAAAATGGACAGTACCCCATGGGAATGAAACCATGCTTTACTGTAAAAGTTAATCAAAAAGTTGCTTCTGTCTACGAGGTCAGGATTGAGGCAGAGGGAAAATGACACAATTACTGTACACTGGGTCTGGATCATATGCCTAGGAGGTGTTTAGGCATATGATTGTTGTTAAACGGTGGATGTAAGGTGCACTATGTAACTTTTCTGGTGGAGGGTCTGTCATCAGCTCCATATACATGTTATTGCTTTCCCAGTGTGATCTATATCCATGGAGACAAACAGGAGATAGCACCAGGACAAGTTCATATCTGTGTAATTGAATAAATGCCAGATAAGGTTAATTTCATATTGTGAAATATTCAAGGCAAAGCAATAACATCTGCATGGAGACAAGCAGCTGGCACTCTCCATTAACTATATACACCATTTAACATCAGCTTGGCTTGGAATTATTCATTTAAAGGTATAGTAGCTCTTTGTACCATGTAGAAAACATTGTGTAGCCGTCAGTAACCAGTAATATACAGGTATATTTATTACCCATGCCTGAATAAACCTAAATACTTGGATATGTTTCTCACTCAAATTGTATCATAATCATGACCTTGCACCCAAGCTTCCAAGGTCACATTGAGCCTATCTGGTTAATTGATTTTTATGACCCTCGCAGATGCTGTCAGATATGTGTGTGTTTACCTAATGTCTGCGGAGGGGGCAGGGGTTATTCTACATGTGACATTGATAGCCATTAA